CAGTGTAGGTAATTAAAGTAGGAAGCTGACTGATAAGAAATGAAACCAGATGTCTATGGAAGGTGCTATTCCCAGGGCTCTAGGAAGCAGGCTAATCAGGTTTCAATCAGGAACCCATCATTCGGAGAGAAAGAATTAATTCAGGATGGGAGGCAGAGAGGGACCAGAAGCCCAGGCAGGATCTCCAGATCTATGACGTTCTGGCTTCCAAAACCCACTTAGGCCAACACTGCTTCTGACCTCCTAGGCCTAATCACAGACAGAGAAACAAGTCTGCAGAGGGGGTGACAAGGAGGAATGGGGCATTCCCTAGGGCAGGCTTCTGCAACAGACACAGCTTCTTTGCAGGTTAAGGGCCTAGTATGATAGGGTTTATTATGCACTGGGAATGACAGCATTGGGGATGTTTCTGAATTCCCAGTTCTTTTTTTTTTTTAAGATTTTATTTATTTATTTGACAGACAGAGCTCACAAGTAGGCAGAGAGGCAGGCAGAGAGAGGAAGAAGCAGCCTCCCCACTGAGCAGAGAGCTCGATGTGGGGCTCGATCCCAGGACCCTAAGATCATGACCTGGGCCAAAGGCAGCAGCTTTAAGCCACCCAGGCGTCCCTCTGAATTCCCAGTTCTATACCAAACTCTGCTGTTATAAAGTGCCTTTTTCTGGAGGAAAAAAAAATGCTCAAAATGTTACTCATTTAATTACAGTATAGAGTTGACACTTTTTTTAAAAAGATTTTATTGATTTATTTGACAGACAAGAGATCACAAGTAGGCAGAGAGGCAGGCAGAGAGAGAGGAGGAAGCAGGCTCCCTGCCGAGCAGAGAGCCCGATGTGGGGCTCAATCCCAGGACCCTGGGATCATGACCTGAGCCGAAGGCAGAGGTTTTAACCCACTGAGCCACCCAGGCACCCCTAGAATTGACACTTCTGAGCTCTTTCCTGTTTGGAAAGATATGCATAGAGTGTATAGTCTCCTGGAAGGGGGGCACCAGAGGAATATAGCCATAGAGGAATAACATATATTTCCCTCAGCCCCTTCCTACTCTTTACAAACTTGAGCCTACACACTGTAAAACAGAATTATCACGGTGGGTGGGGGGAAGAGAGTAAACTACAGGCTCACATATTGGGCAGCCAAACTTGATGCGTAAAATGGGCATCCCTGAAAAAATTTCCCAGTTTACCAGTAAACATCCCAAATGTATGGTTTTAAACTGTTCATCAGTACTGATAACATGCCCCAGTGTTCACAGGAAGTTAAACCTTACTCATAACTTTAAATAAAGAGACCCTCCAAGAAGAGGACTGTGTAGATTCACATCATTGGGGAAGCTTTGTGAAAATAAACGAAGTGTTTGGCACTATTGTTAAATGGACTGTGGAGGCCAGACAGATAACTAGTATTGTGTCTGTGTTAAATTTCCCAAATTCGGTCACTGTACTATGCCTCTGCCCTTAGGAAACACACACTGAAGTATTTCGGAATAAAGCGCAAAAGAGACAAAGCAAGAATGACAAAGCAAACACAGAAAGATGTTAATAGGTAGACCAAGGTGCAAGATAGAAAGGAATCCCTTGAAGTTTCTTGAGGTTTTTCCATTAGTTTGAAAATACTTCAAACTGAAACACTTACAAACAGCAAATGAAGTAATTTCAGATTGACCTACTTAAACATTGTACTTGTTGACATTCAGTTTTCTCAAGGGGTTGACTGAATGCCAAGGGCAATCTTTGAAAGGACTTATCCTTTAGCTGAGTCTTTCCAAATTGCAAGGCCATCTTCAGAAAAGGAATTACTCAAACAATCCACGTTTATCTCATGCTCTGAAACAACTCCTTCAATAACTGATAGTTTTTCTTCCAAAACTATCAGTGGATAGCTTGTAAATGGATTGTCATTTACATTTGATTATTTATGTTAATATCAAGTCACCCATTTATTTCTGAATCAGTACACCATTTATGTTTGTCTAGAAGAGATCTGTACTGCCTCTCTTTTTTTGGTATCACACGCGGCAATCAACAGTCAGCTGAGCAGAATCTCAGTATCGAGCAGTGTAGCTTCGACGAATGGAATAAATGCTTATGAAACAGAGAAGATTCCATGAACTGCTGGTTTCTTGCAAGTCACAATCCTAGCAGTCTCAAATTTCTCGTCCTGCGGAAGGAATTTCCAGGTGAGGTTAAAAAAAAAAAACGTAATTAATCACAATGAAACCATTTTCAAATTTCTGTTTTTAAAATAATCCCTGACATCAAAAAGCCAGGAAAGAACTGTATAAGGAATGAAACAACAAGGGGAAACTGAAAAATTAATTTATTATATGAAGAAACATAAACAGTAGTTATTAGAGTCAATGGCTGCAATGGAAGCAGCCTGGGAAAAAGCTCACATCCACAATTTATTGACTGAGAGGTACTGACACATAACACTCATAACCACAGCACTAATGTTCTAAGGTGGTTTCCAAGGAAACGCAGTATTTGACACTTTGAATGTTTATTTTCCCATTTACAAGCCTGAAAAGATTAAACCCATATTCAATTAAAGTCTAACAGGATCAGGCATTCAACTCATAAAGCAAAACTGTCAAAAGACACTAGCTACTATGTCCTTCATGAAAGATGAAAGATACAAAAATGAACAACGCATAATCACCAAAAGCAATTTCTCAGATTCCAGTGAGTTTTTCTTCCTCCAAGTACCATGTGTTTGGGTGCTAATTTTTGTAAGCAACCGACGGCCAGAGAAAGGGCAACTGCTGAGTTCTCTCCAGAATAAAGACCATTTACACTTGCCCTTCCATAAGGTCAAAGGCCAAGGTATTCACTCAAGACACTCATGGAGATGATCCTGCTTATTTCTCTTCTAACAATAAAAACATAGTAATAACCTGTTTATGGACTTGAATAACTATACGAACAACTCCTTAAATATGCATGGCACTTTAAGATATTTTCACAGCATTTTCATATCTCTTATTTTAATTTGATCTTTCAACCAACAACCTTGTGAGGTAGGCCGCGCAAGTATATCATCCAAATTTGGTGGGCGAAGAAACTGAGGCATACGACAATTCAGTAACTTCTGGGCTACACAGGGAGGCGCCAGTCTCTACACTGTGCTGTCTCCAGTAATGAAGAGACAAAGCCTAAATGTGTTTGATGATCTTATTTCAATATATTCTGATGAAACACTTCAACTCCATTCAGCTAAATGATCATGATTCAGTTCAAGCAGCTGTCATGACAAGTTACGGCATGCAATTAATTAGACAAAGCACTGAGAGTTTTAAAAATTGGAATTATAATGAAAAGCATTTTAACTCTCAACACATGAGGGAATTTGCTTGTTTGTCTTTCGGGCAACCTAGCTCTGCAGTCTGAACTATCATCACTTTATCATTTCAGAGGTATAATATAAATAATTTTAAAACAAAAATTCTCAGTTCACCATGACTTAAATTTTTACCACACAGAAAATAACAGTGGTTTCTCTCCCCCAAAGTGAATGGACACACATGGCCCCAGAGCAGGGATATCTGCCTGTCAAGGGTTAAAGATGACAAAATGTCCAGTTTAGTTAGCAAACCTCTTTGTCCTTATAAATGTGGCTTATAATTGTGTTACGGGAGCCTGACAGACCATCACTGTTAGTGTGGTTTGGGGTCATTTAAGATGCTTAGCTATCTTCTACATTTAAATGATTTAAAATGCATTTGAAGGCTAAGATTTGGTAACAGTTCTTGAGACAGGCTTCCAAGCCAAGGTTGGATGTATCTGTCTCTCCATCCCTCTCTAATTTGGACCACAATTCCTGCTCAAACTCACCATGTGTAACCTGTCTCCTGACAGACTGCCTATTAAAAACTGGTCAGGGGTGGGGTGGGGAAGAAAAGAAGAAAGAAACTGAGTGGGTCAGAAAGTTCAGCCATTAGGGGTCCTTAGACCATATACCCTGACTGCCCTGCAATGTCCAGCCTAGTCAGTGACAAGTCACCTGATCCAGATATTTCATTATCAAGGTTTTTATGGTAGACATAATGGCACTAGATCCGGGCATTTTCCCGAGACAACTGAGGATACGCTATATAATCCTTTGATGAAATAAATACGGTTCCAGATTAAAAGAGAAATTATACTGGAGACAGGAGAGACAGAAGCATAAAATTGGAGATAGCATTCAAAAAACTCACAATCATGCCAAATCAAAATACGTTCAGTTAAAGACAAAAATCCTCTGGTCATTTCATCTCTTTGTATTCATTTAAAAGTTTCTGAAGTCAGTATCTAACTTGGGAGAGGAGACTCTTTCCCTTCCAATAATGAAAAGTAAAATGCCCTATAGTTACGCCTGGGGAGAGATTTCTAAGGAGTTTCCTAGAAAAGCTTAAGTTAACCAATGTAACTCTTGTCTAAAGCTCTTCTGAAAGGCTAGGAAGAAAAGGAGGAAGAGAAGACTATTTTTTCTTCTTTGTCAAGAAGGCAAATCCTAACAAAGTCAACTATAAATTTCCCAGAATTGTAGGATGGGACTGAACCTTGAGGAGGTTTAAACCTACCTTCCAGCAGATTCATTTATCTTCAACCATCCTAAGGTAAGATTTCTGCTTATAAAAGCCTATATCATTTTGATATTTTAACAACCCTTGTAATCCAGAAGCTCTTGAACACATTGAAGGAATACAAACCATCCTAAAATCCCAGGGCTTCCAAAGCCAAATCCAGAATTCAATTTTGCATCCATGGATCCTTGGGAATAAAGTCTCCAGGTGTGAACTTTTGAATCAGAGCAGGCCAAGGTGGCTATAGCTGGTTATGTACAAAGAGCCCTGATGAGAGAAAATGGAACATCTGCCTATTCAAAAAGCAAACTTGAAGAGCCCTCTCTGAAAAGTCTGACAGGAATGATATTGCTGATGACAAAACCCTAGTCACCTTCTGTGGTCATGAGGACAGCTCTTGGATGAAAGCTATGCTCAGAGAAAATAAAACAAGCAGTTCAAAAAAACCTAGAAAACCAGAAAGCTCCTGTCCTCATTCTACCTGACGGATCTAACCAGCCCAACTCAGATAGCAAGGGGCCCTTGTCAGGGGAAAGGCCAGTAACACCTGGGAGAACAAGGTCAACTACAAATGGTGGTACCCTGGGCTGCCTCTCTAATACTCAGGGCTTTCCTTGGCTTCTCTCCATAGTTCCCACATGCCCAAGAGCTCTCTAAAGAGGAGCAACTCACAGGGAGTTGAGAGCTAACTTCCCTGTCAACTGCACAGGGCCCGTCCCTTGTATGAAGAACAAGGATCAACCCAGAAAACAGTAGGTCTGAACTCCGAGAGACTCAGGCCCTACTAAGCTGAGCAGAGCTCTTCAGTGTTCAAAATCTGGCTGGGCACAGAACTTATTTTACTGCTAGAAGGTGTCTCATCTCTGTCTCCGATTGACCTTTGATCCACCTTGCCTACAGACTCACGCGACTTCCGCTGCCTGCAGTGACAGCAGACACACTTTAGCCACTCTTGAAAGCCTTCTGCAACAGTGGAGGAGAAGAGCTTTTTGCAAGGGTGGAAGAACTGATAGAACACGAGCATGAACAGGATGGCCGTGCAGTAGCCAACGAGCAACTGCAGAATCAGCAGAGGCGCGCACACGTACATGTAGATGTCAGTCTTGTAAAGATACCACATGAGCAGGAGGACGGCGTTCTCAATGAATCTCAGCATGTAGTACACCAGGAGCCGGTACCAGTTCTGGGACTTGCTGATGAGGTCAGGGTTGTTGATTTTCAGCTGCACGGCTGACCAGCAGAACATATTGATCCCGGCATAGAGTAAGGTGAGGAAGCCCAGGACAATGGTGGTGCCCACGCGACTGAGGGCCTTCTCGATGTTCTCGGGGAATGGGGAGCCACTGCACCAGAAGAGGATCCAGGGATAAAGGAAGAAGCTGAAGAAGTTGATGAGCACGACCATTACCACCCAGGCCTTCAGGACGGAGGTGAAGAGGACCAGGACAATGACTCGAGTGGCAATCTCAAAGCTCCTCCAGAGGAAGATACACACATAGGCCAGAGGCTTTACTTTGACATCGTACTCATCGTACTTGATCTTGATGGCTAGGATGTTGCAGCGCAATGCTCCGTATACAATGGACAACAGGGACAGGACCATGAAGAGACCTGGGGAGAGGAGAGAAAGAGCATGGTCGAGTCTCACCTGCACCAAGAATCCTGCTCTCGCAGATACTTCCTCGCCCCTATTTCTCAGACCCCTCTCTTCTCTGCTCACAGGCTGACTGCCAGCAGTCCGTATCTGCTCACTGTGCTGCATGGCTTTTTCCAGGGCCGCATGACGCTGCTCTGCCCAGGGGCCGGGGAGGCGCACGGGCCAGGGAATCCATGCCCCAGGAGAGCCCTCCAGATCCAAGTCCAGCCCTGATAAGAGCTGGAACAGAACTACCCTGCCCACACCCCCACCCCCCACGCCTTGGATAGCGTAACTCCGAGGCCTGTGTCCTCTCCAATTCTCCAGTGTTTCCTTACAGGCAACTTGCTGGTCATGCGTGGTGACTGCTGTCTAATCCCGCTCCCTTTGTTGGCTGCCGTGCCTGCCTTGTCTTGGTCCCTTCTCCGGTGCTCCTTACACCCTCCTCCAAAAACACATGCACGCAGAGCCTTGTCTCCATGTCTGCTTCAGGGTCAACTCAAATTCAGACGCCTTTCTAACGCCATCTTGCTCTGCCAGAATATGTAAGGTCCTTTATGTGGTGTGTTCTGTTTCCTCACTTAGCTTATAAATTCCCACGGAGTCAAGAATGACCAAGTCTGGGCTCCTGGGTGGCTCAGTGGGTTAAGCCTCTGGCTTCGGCTCAGGTCATGATCTCAGGGTCCTGGGATTGAGGCCCCCATCGGGCTCTCTGCTCGGCAGGGAGCCTGCTTCCCTCTCTCTCTCTGCCTGCCTCTCTGCCTACTTGTGATCTCTCTCTGTCAAATAAATAAATAAAATCTTAAAAAAAAAAAAAGAATGACCAAGTCTGACATTCTGTCTTGGTGCCTTTGAACACAGAACAGCAGTAGGTACATGAACAGAAAGATCTCAATAATAAATTGCTCAATGAGTTCCTCTATATCTGTGAGAACTTGCAATTAATATCCCAACTATAGAATGCTCACTTTTCTTTACTCTTCAGTTACATTTAAGACCATAACCGCGGATTATTGAAGAAACGAGAATCTCACCACTACTGGGAATCTTGTCTTGGGCTGAAAGGCCTTGGTGTTTCGAGAAGTCTCAACTCGAGCTGCTATTTCTTTTTAAAGAGCTGGGTTTTTTTAAAGATTTTATTTATTTGACAGAGAGAGAGAGAGAGAGAGAGATCACAAGTAGGCAGAGAGGTAGGCAGAGAGAGGGAAGCAGACTCCCCACTGAGCAGAAAGCCAGATGCGGGGCTCGATCCCAGGACCCTGGGATCATGCCCTGAGCCGAAGGCAGAGGCTTTAACCCACTGAGCCACCTAGGCACCCTTTGAGCTGCCTATTTCTTGAAATGACCTGTGGCTAATGGCTTTCTTCAATTTATACCAAGCAGAAGTTTGGCATTGTGGGGGGCAAAATATGGCTCATTTTAAACGGGACCTGGTGGGGCGGCTGGGTTAGTCAGTGAAGCGTCTGCCATTGACTCAGGCCATGATCTCAGGGTCCTGGGATCAAGCCCCTTGTTCAGTGGGGAGCCTGCTTCTCCCTTTCCCAATGTCCCTCCCCCTGCTCAGGCTTTCTCTCCCCCCCACCTCAGATAAATGAAATCTTAAAAAAAAATGGGACATGGTACCGTGTTTGAGGGCACAACCCTGGTTGTGAGCTACTGTCTCAGAAATGTGCCGCCAAGCCATGAACACACACTGTATGGCTGAAACTGAAATCTAATCCCTTATGACAGACCAGCACCACCTCCAAATACTGGAGCAAGGAGAAATGGGAGGCAGGGCTTGGGGTGAGGAACCCAGAGTCTGGCTCTGGTTTTGGTCTTACCCCGCCAGGCTACACCAGGGAAATGGTGATCTCTTTGGGTTCTGTTTTCTCACCCATAAAATTGAGATGATAATACCTTCTATGTCTGCTTCATGAAGTGCAATGTCCATATAACATAATTGTCTCTACCTTAAATGTGTAATTTAAAACACATGGGAATGAAGAGTTTTTTCCTTATTTAAGTTCTAAATCAATGAAAAAAACATCTATATTTGGTGGACATAAAAGCTCTGAGGCTTTGGTACTTATTTGCCTGGGAGAAGCTCAAATTTACTCAAAGCATTGGCTTTTTTCATTGTCTTTTGGCACTGATTTAAATCATCAAATTCATTCACTGGAAAGACTATCATCTACTAATCAAATTTAAAAGACAGAAACACTATCACAGGAGTATACTGGACAGCAATTGGACTGAATTATTTTTCCTGAGAGGCTAACTCAGCGAAGCGTTGTAAAGCAGTACGTTACCAGTGATGTATTTTTATGTTTTATGTATTTTATATTTTTACAAATTTCTACACCCTAAGGATTTAACATTGAATCTTCTTCTCTTAGCCCTTCGGCTTTCCCCACAAGAAAAATATTTCATATGCAGAAGATGAGCTAAGCATAAGTAATTAAAATGTCAATTGTATCTTTACACACATACAGTATTTATATAGTTATATTTTTGGTACTTCAAATTATTTATTACTTTTAACAGTACAATGACCCAAATGATTTTTTAAGCGTTTACCCATTTTTCTCTGGTTAGGCCAATTATTTCCAAATTGCATTTATTTCTCTATAAAGAGAATGAGCCAACGATTACCCAACTGGTGCTTGGTGGCAATCACCCACTGAAGCCTTTTGAGAATGCAAAGAAATTGTCATAAAATCACTGACTTCAATTGTCATTCCCACTGTTGGGTGGTCATTGCAAAATGTCACAGATAGAAAGGGGTCCAGGAAGAGAGATGCACTTGGAAGACAAGAAGGCTTGTACAAAATGCTTGGAATGCACATCTCTACCTCTTTAATTAAACTGTCATGCGAATACCTACGTATTCAGACTTAAACGGAAAAAAAGTTCCCTGATGCCACTTTCCAACCTTATCTTCCCACAGTCAACACAAAAGGGCTCCATTGGCAGTCCTGCTCATTTCAGTGGCACTTCATAGAAGTCTCACTTCCCTCTAATAATCCTATTCTCATTTCCTATGAGTGTGTGTGTCATAGGGGGCATTTTGCTGCTCTCGTCTTTTATTAGAAGGGAAGACATCCCCTTAGGTAAAGCTGAACAGAAGACTTTGGCACTATTCCAAACTCTTGCCATACTTATAAAGCTTCTTCCCACTCAATTCCCATCAAATCATCTCCTTCCAAATGAACTCTTTTCCTATTTCATAGAGAAACAAATTGTTATTAGGCATGAATTCACTCATTTCCTGACTTGACACCCAAACCGAATCTCTATGTTAAGTGATGAAGAATATTTTATTCCCCGGGATTCCTCTTAGAGGGGGAATTCTCTATGTAGGAGAAGAGGAACAGCTTCTCTCTTGCTTTGGAGGCTGCTCCCCAGGTGGGAGATGGTATGTGGCAGTTCTCTGTGATGTGACTACTCTCCATGGACACTGGATCTTCAAATAAAAATGACTAAACTTATAAAATGTTTAGGTGGAATAAACATTTCCCCAAAATTTAGTGAATGACTTCAAGGAAGGAACCGAGGCACACTGAGGTGGCAGAGGGCAATTGAAGGGGTTAGCATAGGAAGCTTCTGAAAATCGGAATTTTAACCAGATTTCTCTCTCTCTCTTTTTAAAGATTTTAGTTATTTATTTGCCAGAAAAAGAGAGAGAGAGTGAGTGAGAGCACGCACAAGCAGAGGGAGGGCAGAGGGAGAAGCAGGCTTGCCGCCAAGCAAGGAGCCCCATGTGAGACTTGATCCCAGAACCCTGGGATCACGACCTGAGCCGAAGGCAGACGCTCAACGGCTGAGCCACCCAGGAGCGCCTTTGACCAGATTTCTGAAGGGCAGTACTTTCATCTCTTTTTCTTTCAATTCAGCAGCTGGAAAGTGTTTTCTTTACTGTCTAGAGCCACGATCTCCACCTGTACTGCACTCCACCACTTGCTTCCTTTTCAAAAACCTTGTTCCATCAATTATCATCTTTCTCTTCTAAATCTGCAGCTGCGCTCTCTTGGCTCTGTTCCTTGAGTGTATGAATATGCCTATGTCAGCTGCATCTAAAAAACCATCCTTCACTTGCAAAAACCAACATAATTGTGGGAGCCGTGTGATGGAACGGGAGATTCATTATAGTAGCTTCTCAATCTTTTCGCCTGTTGCGAAATTGCTATAATAATAATGCTAAAAGGAAGGAAGGGAGGGAGGGACGGAGACAGGGAGGGAGGGAGGGAAGGGAAGGAAGAGTAGGGTGCAGGAGAGAGAGAGGAAGGACCCCTCCTTCACCCTGAACTTCTGTCTACTACTCCACTGTCCTTGACGCTTTTCAGTCAAACCTCCTGAGTTATCTCTAGTCACAACACTCACTCCTTCATCCTCAACTCCTTGCAGTCTGGATTCTGGTCTGGCTCCTTCCTGATCTCTCTGTAACATGGGATGCTGCTTACTCACACCTTCTTGAAACTTCTCTTGGAGAAGAGATCACGTTGTTTGCTACTAATCATTCTCTTGCTTTCCTTGTAGCCTCTTCTCAACTTCATCCATAGGTACATCTTTCTCTTCCACTCAGGAACCATGCTTTGATGGTCTCCTTCTATCCCATGGCCTACTAGATTTCTCTTCCTACAGATCTTAGTGCCTCAAAACAAAACCACAAACAGAAGAAAACTTATTTTCCTGAAAATTCCTGATGTTTCCTCTAACAGCCCATGACACCATCAGCCCACATCACCCTATCCAGAAATCTACGTGTTCAGTAGGACTTTTCACCTTCCTCTCCCATCACAGCCAAGTAGATCTCTCAACTCTTGCTGCTCTGCGTGGCTCATGGACCAGCGGCAAAGACACTGGGAATTTTTTAGACGTGCTCCACCTCAAACCCAGTGAATCAGAATCTGTATTTCGACAGGATTTTCAAGGTGATTAGTATGACCATTACAATTTGAGAAGTACTGCCCGAAGTTCTTTTCCTCTTGCCTTT